ACTTTGTATTTGATTTTCTTTTGTTTTTCTATTTTGTTTTTGTTCTCTTTCTTTTTCCTTTCCATTTTCCTCTCTTTTTTTCATTTTTTTTCATTTCATTTTCTTTGTCTTTTCTTCCTCTTTTTTTTTGTTTTTTTTTCATTTCATTTTTCAATAACACTTTCAGGTTCCAAAGAGGGTAATCAAAGAATGGGAGCCGGCTCAAAGGGTTTTCAAAAGGTTGATAGTGTTTGGGTAACAAGAATAAAAGCCTTCTTCATCCCAACCGGAGAACATTAATGCTATATAAAGGATCCAACATAATACGTTTTGACTGCATTTGCATTGGCAATTGTTTCAGGGACATTTCCTTCGATGTGTCCCAAGTACAATGCACTCTTTTGGCAGTACTCTTGTTGTAATGTATGGACCTTTCCAATTTTAGTTCCACCTCATAAGTTCTTGCACATTCTCACTCAGCGGTTAATAGATTTATTTTTTAATTTGTACTATTTCATAACTGTCGATATCTTTGTATTTTATCTTCAGCATGCTGCATTTCTGGCCCTGCTTCCTCTTGTGAGGCAACGAATAATTGATGGGTTCAATGAAAAGGCTCGTGATATGTTTCAAAGGGAGTTCGATTTCTTTGACAAGGTTACATCTATATCTGGCGCACTCTATCCACTTCCCAAGGAGGAGAGAAGAGCTGGCATTCGGAGGTAAAGTAGAATGTGCACCAAGATTTAATATTGTTGATTTGTGTACAATATGTTGTATATATAGGTGCTGTGTGCCTTCTGATATTTGTCTATCTTGAACAAACCTCATATTTTCATTTACTAGGGAGCTGGAGAAAATTGAGATGCAAGGAGATGATCTCTATCTACCTACAGCTCCTAATAAAATCGTGAAAGGGATTCAGTTTGATAGGGGAATTCCCTTGCAATCAGCTGCCAAGGTTCCTATTATGATCACATTTAACGTTGCAGATCGAGATGGCGATCAAAATGACATAAAACCCCAAGCTTGTATATTCAAGGTAAGATTAGGGGATACAAGTGTATTTTATTGATCTAGATCTTAGATATTTTATTTCAGATGAAAGAAAATCTGCCTAAGGTCTTGCCTTCCTGCCACAACTTTTTCCCACCACATCGTTATGCTTAGCAGCTAATATATATAAATTTAAAGGGATTTCTTCTCCGTAAAAGTCTTCTTTCAGTTAATTCCAGTGGATGGTTGACTGGCTTGCTTCAGAAGTATTGAAAGAAGTGAATGAAAATCATTAAAATTTATGAGTCTCTTTTTCATACTTAACGATTAGTAGGTAATTACTCTATTTTGAGTTTAATGGTTAAGTTTGACATTTTACTGTTGTTGCATAGAACTCGGACTGGTCTGTCACACCCCAACCTTGTGAGGTGTGGCTGGCACCCGATGCCCGAAGGCCCGAGCGAACCAACCATGAGATATGATCCGAAATATAATAACCTGCAGGTAGAAGAGCCCAACACGACATATATATATATATATAAACTAGGCCAACAAGGCTGTAACAACAGTATAACA